CCAAAAATTCTTGCCAACGTGCCTGCTTCGAACTTAGCTTTTTCACCGTCTTGAAAAATGTCTTGGCCACATTATCCGTTCTCACAAAAAATCTAGTTCCCAGCAAATACACCTGCCAAATCTGCAAGCAGTGGATCACAGCAACCATTTCCTTTTCATGAGTCGAATATCTTTGCTCAGCTTCATTCAACTTCCTGCTTTCAAACGCCACTGGGTGGTCATCTTGTACCAATACACCTCCAATAGCCTTGTCGGAAGCATCATTATGAACTTCAAAGGGTAGTTCGAAATCTGGAAGCTGCAAGATAGGTTTTGAGGCTATGACTTCCTTCAACATGTCAAATGCACCACTGCATTTGTCAGTCGACGCCCACCTAGCATTCTTCTTCAACAAATCAGTCAATGGAGCAGCTTTCTTTGAATAGCCCGCAATGAATTTTCGATAATAATTTGCTAACCCAAGGAAAGATCTCAACTCTTTCACAGAATTAGGCGTCTGCCACTCCACAATGACCTGCACCTTATTCGGGTCCATCCACACTTGTTTCTGGCTCACCAAGTGCCCAAGAAATTTGATCTCCTGTCTAGCAAACTCACACTTTTCCATTTTCACATAAAGTTGGTACTCCCTTAAACGAGACAACACCCTTCTTAAGTGTGAGATATGTTCATAAGGTCCGACTATAATGTCGTCTAACTAGACAACAACAAAGTCATCCAAGTACTCATACAACACATCATTCATCAGGTTGCAAAAAGTAAAAGGGGCATTTGTCAACCCGAACGGCATAACAAGGAATTCATATGAGTCATACCTCATAACACATGTAGGTTTAGACTCATCACCTTCAGCTATCCGTACCTGCCAATAACCAGACCTTAAGTCAAGTTTTGTGAACCAACAAGCCTTGCTTAACCTGTCCAACAAGTCTTGCACCAACGGAACTGGATATTTGTTTTTCACAATCACTTTGTTCAACGCCCTATAATCAACACACATCCGAAGCGTTCCGTCCTGTTTCTTTTGAAATAAAAGAGGTGCACCAAACGGAGCTTTTGATGGCTGAATCAATCACGCATCGAGCAACTCGTTCAATTGTTTCCGCAATTCAGTCAACTCTTTTGGTGCCATCTGATAAGGAGGTTGAGCAGGGGGCATTGAACCCAACAGCAACTCTATCTTGTGATCAATAATCCTCTGTGGTGGTAAATTTTTAGGCAATTCTAGTGGCATCACATCAGCAAAATCGCTCAATATTGGAGCGACACAGTCCGGCACTTCAACCTTCACAGCAGACTTCACCTCAACCATTGCAGCAAGGAAAGTCTCATCTCCCCTTTTCAGACCTTTTTCGACCATCATGGCAAAAACTAATGAAGCTTTTCGTTGAGTTTCTTCTTTCCCATAAGGATGAACAGCTTTCACAAAACCAGGAGCCATTTCATGCATAATCATCACTCCGTCCAAGTGAGGCATTGGAACAAAGCAATTTTTCCGCATAAAGTCGATTCCAAGGATCATCTCAAAGTCCTCTAGTGGAATCACCATCAAATTAGCTTTCCCCTTCCAATTCCCAACTGACATAGGAACATTGCAAGCCATACCCACAATGGCTTGGGCTTTAGCATTCACAGTCTGCATGTAAGAGGGACACTTGTTCACATTCAACCCGTACTTATGCACCAATTTCGCCGAGACAAAGGTGTGAGTAGCTCCAGTATCTACCATTGCTATCACACCCTTTTCTCCGATTTTCATTTCAACGTGCATCGGTAAATAATGAGGGTTGGTCTCGTTGCTTGTAGCATTAAGCAACGAGATGGCATTCAACAGTTGCAAAGGGTTCACCAAGGCAGCAACTTCTCTACCTTCTCCTTCCCAATTATTTTCTGTTGCATGCAAAGCATTAACTCGCCCGATTTGGGCAGTTTTTTGCAATATGAGATCCACCGCAAGTCCAGCAACCATTGCCCTTTTTGTTGGCATTGCCTCTATTTCTAACAGATCTGTCAGCAATAGCCTTACCCTTTTCCACGAATTCTTTTGAACTTCCTCGATTCCCCTTTCTTCTCTACCTTTTTCTTAGGTTTTGAAGTAGAAGAAATTTCAGAAAGACTTCGGGTACTGCGGTAATCCACCAATGAATCTGCTGCAGTAATCGCACTCGGGAGGTCCTTCACGTTCTGCCTCCTGAGTTCGTTCTGTGCCCACGCTTGCATTCCAGAAATAAAATTATGCAACTTGTCCTCCTCCGACATGTTATGGATATCCAGCATTAAGGAAGTGAATTCCTTAATATAATCACGAACTATTCCGGTTTGCCGCAGACGTTTCAAGCGGTCCCTAGCAAGCCAAGACGCGTTGCTAGGTAAGAACTGGTCCTTCATTTCTTTCCGGAGTTTCTCCCATGCATCGATCTTGGGCCTGCCCGCACTTTCGTCGTCGACCATGCGAGTTCTCCACCATAATTTTGCATCTCCCGTTAGGTACATGCTTGTTATGGTTACTTTTTCCCCGTTTGGAATCTTGGCAGCAACGAAATATTGCTCCATATCCCATAGAAAGTTCTCTGGCTCTTTAGCACTACGCGCTACACCAAACGCCTTCGGTTCTGGGATCTTTACCTTAGAACGTTCTTCACTGCCTCGGCCAGGATCAGCCAAAGTCCATCGAAGAACAGCAATTTCCAAGTTAAGAGTTTCATTCTCGTTTTTCAGATCTTCAACTTGAACATTCGTGGCCTCACACGTTTGTTGAATAGTTTCACGAAACTAATTCAATCCATCCTTTAGACGATAGATCTCAGTAATTAGATCGTCCAAATCCAAATGGTCGTCAGGCACACCCATCAGTGCCTCCAACCTTTGCACATGCTCACGCAAGTCTGCATTGGATCCACCAGCCATGATCCAAAATCACGAGCAAAGCTCTGATACCAGTTGTTACAGGGATAATTTTTCGCAAATGGCACTGCACGGCAGCAGCCTAACACTCAAGCTACTCAGTCTTACTTTTTCCTCACTGTTTAGGACTTAAAATTATTTCAGACTTCTGAAACGGAAGCAACACAATTACGGGTAAACACCCAACCTTTTATTATTCTCGAAGTATATACAAAGGACTCTCCGTTGGAAGGCTCACTATTGACTTCCTCCCAAGCCAACGAAATACAACACCTATATATAGGGGTTGCCACTGGCAGATTACAAGGGGCAATTTATAAAGGGGCAATTACATCATAGTGCTTGTCACATGTCAAGCACTATGAACAAGCACTTAGCCATGTAATGAAGCACTTCTCACGAAATGGTCCCTCTTCAGCACTTAGCCATGTAATGAAGCACTTCTCACGAAATGGTCCCTCTTCAGCACTTAGCCATGTTTGGTGGAGCACTTAGCCATGTTTGGTGGAGCACTTCCCACGAAATGGTCCCACCATAAGCACTTTAACCCACTGTAACATATCTTGCACACAGCTTTGCCCACACTTTGTCTTTAACTTGCCTTGTCATTTGACCATGCCTCGCACATTAGCGTATGACAATGCCTTCGTCACAGCCTTGTCGTCCCACTGATCCGTACGCATGCATTGGCCAAATGCCATGTGTTTGCCATCGTCGTCGCCCACATCAAAGGTTGCCTTGCCATCACTCAAGGAACCTTGCCTAGCTGACCTGCCCAAGTCCGTGCACTGACTTAAGCACACTCTCAGCTCCGTACATTGCTTGTCAAACCCACACGAACCCATACCAAAGGGCAATGTACAAGCCCTTGACATTGGTTCTGCCCGGCATCCATCACGTCTCAACATTAGGGGCTAACAAACTGCAAGAAGCCAAGAATGAAATCATGGTACCCCCACAACATGGATTCAAATTTCATAGTCTAAGATAAGTTCATAACAGAAAATTTGAGCATTCCAATCTTTCAATCGTCAACCTATTTGACGAAAAACCATGGCAATCAAATACCCAATATATTCCTCAACTTTTTTCTTGTAATTTTTGTATGTGTTTTTGCGAGTTTATCACATGGTGTCCATTTTGATCAAGATCCGCTAGGAGCTATTGTCAATGGTGCTAATGGTACAGCGATCTGGGTGATTCTTTTTTCTTGCCATGTATCTGAAAATTGTGCCATGCCAAGCATTTTTGGTGTCAGATTTACGCCAACAAACACAACTTGATATATCCTGCTACAAAGAACTTTATAGGTGATCTACAGTGGCTTTGTATGGTCTTAACTAACTAGCCAGAACGATCAACAGTGGCTTTGTGTGGTCTTAAACTAACTACCCAGAACTTATGGAAAGTTTCAATCTAACTAAAAACAGGAGCTTGGAGTTTTGCTAAAGCTTGGATGCTATTTAAACACCATTATCACATTGGCAAAATTTCCACTCATCTTGTGGTTCAAACCCTCTTATCTCTCTACTCCTTCCTTTAACAACCTGTCTTGCTGTCATAACTTGATCGACCGCAAGTCCACCAGCAACATGTCTTTGTACTTGAAGAATTTCTCAGCGTCCGGGAAGAAGATCAACGAGACATTAAAGCACTCTTTAAATCCATTTTAAATTCTGATGCCATTCTAACAAAGTAAAAAAACAATTTTTTATTCAATAATCAAGAAGGATTAAATTTATTGTGTATGTTTTTTTTAAAACGAAAAAATTTATTGTAGTTGTTTCTGGTGTAAAACTTGCAGGTGTGGTGTATTTTTGGGTATGTTCGAATTATATATGGTTTCTATCGCTAGTGCATTGCATATTATTACTACTTAGTTGATCCAGATAAATGAAAATAGAAAATCAGGGAATAGAAGGGGTATGTTCTTCAAGGGTAAGGGATTCATTCTATCATCTTTTCAGTTAAGGATATTTTTGTGATACACATGTGACCAACTACCATCATAGGAGTATTAAACAGTTTGTGTAACAGAATACTAAAAGGACTCCATTCTTGTAAACTTTGGAGTTTAGGGACTATTTGTGCTCGAGTTATATACAAGGGGCCATTTTAAGTCTACTCACAAAGATAAGGGACTATGTCGGGTATTTTCTCGGGAGAGGGTGTTAAACCTTCATAAAATGAACAGAGTAAGAAGAGAGGATGTTCCAGGAAAGTTATCTTAGCAGTAGCAAAGTCTATGTAGAGTGTCTCCATATGATGCAAGGCTCGTAAAAGGCCAGCTACTCCAAACAAATTAAACTTTTCCAAACGCAACTCCTCTAGCGTTAGATATTTGCATTTCGGTTCGGGAATCTGTACTCCTTTGAACTGCAACATGCACATGACCTGGTGCAGTAATCCCAATGAAACTAGTAATGAATGGAGAAAGCAACAGCAGCAAAAAGAAAGTACTCCACCGCAGCGAGACAGTGTTGTGATGAATCAAACCATCTAAACATTTTTTTCTACCACTCTGCTTGTTTCTTGATCAAACAAAACAAAAAAATCTAAATACTTTAAGCTACATCAATGTACAAAAATTCTGGTTTCTAGATTATATCATTTGGAGGAATGATAGAAGAAATAACAGGCTTCTAAAAGTTGACAAACGGATTGCGAAAAGTCTCACAAGGCCACAAGTTTATGTAGTTGATCTTGTTGTGTTTGTGAAATTTATGCAGATGTTCTCAATTGTATAATGTTTTATATTCTGCAAGTGTCTACGGAGTAATTATCAATGAGAGAAAACAAAGACTTTTGAGTTAGAACAAACCTCTATAAACCAATTTCCTATTGTTAGCTCGGTTGCACAACTCAATTTTTGAAGATAATCTTGGACGATTGTCCCAAAGACGTGATGTGAATCACGACAACTGTCTTCCTCATCATCATATTGTTCACCATGATCACCCGGATCGTCTTTGATACAGTGAGTGTGGAAAGTAAGAATAGCAGTAACCAAGGAGGACACATCTACAAGCCTACATTTGAGATACAACAACAACCTCTTTGATACAGCGAGTGTGGAAAGTAAGAATAGCAGTAACCAAGGAGGACACATCTACAAGCCTACATTTGAGATACAACAACAACCTCTTTGATACAGCGAGTGTGGAAAGTAAGAATAGCAGTAACCAAGGAGGACACATCTACAAGCCTACATTTGAGATACAACAACAACCTCTTTGATACAGCGAGTGTGGAAAGTAAGAATAGCAGTAACCAAGGAGGACACATCTACAAGCCTACATTTGAGATACAACAACAACCCAATAGAATAACACTAGCGGGTCTGGCGAGGGTAGAGTGTACGCAGACCTTACCCCTACGCCGAAGGGAAAGAGAGGTTGTTTCCGGGAGACCCTTGGCTCATAGACAATAGAACAAGCCTACATTTGAGATGAACTCCTGAAATCTCCAAATGTTGAAGATACGGGGCAACAATTTCCAGCGATTCATCACTGTCAAGACTAGGAAATAAAAAACATTACAAATTCAGTCTCTTAAACTTTAAAGAATTAATGTCCACACGAAGAAATCCCCCAACTGAAATTCCATAGTTTCTAAAGCAGGATAACCTGACACTAAGTTCAAGATATCCTCATCGGATAACACCAAATACTCCAACTTTATGCTCTTTAGAGACTTCCACTGAATGGCCGCTCCAGAATCAAAGCAATAAAATTTCAAATGTAATGTTACCAAGAGGAACAGGTGTAGAAAGATTCAGGCAATGTGCAACCGTTCCTATTAGAACTTGACCAGTATACAAAATCTTCCACTTTATTTTCAACAGCAAAACTAAGCCATCGGCTCATATGCGACTTGTATGGAGACAGGCGAATGCAGTCGAGCTTTAATCTTTTTATTTTGGAAGAAACAAAATGAGCTAACACATAGTCAACAAAGGATACGAAGTAGTTTGTTTTCCGGTAACTTGTACGAGTGAAATTGAGGTTATCAACTGAAGCCCAGAGGTAGCGCCACCTTTTAGAGAGAATACAGGTTTTGAATGCATCCTTTGCCGTAGGCAAAAGAGAGAGTATTTGAACTAGCACTGAGTCCGGCAACTGACTAATTCGATCTAGGGTTTTGGTCACGCTCAACTTCTGTTTCTTCAAAGATGGATGATTTATCAAATTACTACTACTACTGCTGCTACTTGTAAAGCCGTCATTTTGGCTGGAGTCGCCGGAAGAAGCCATGATTTAATTTTGGAACCAAAAGGGTTTGGAATCGTCTCTCACTCAACACTTTGTGATCTTTGTTTTTGTCTTTTAAATACTTGGGCATAATTAGATTTAGGGGTTTTTACGCTTCCGTTTGGTTGGTTTTTTATTAAAATCAAAATCAAACCAATTTAATCAGTTTTTAAAATTTTAAAACCAAAATCAAATCAAATTAAATATAAATCATCGGTTTGGTTGTTGTTGGTTTGGTTCGGATTTCCGGTTCTTAATAAGCTAATGATAAGTCGATAATAGTAAAAACAACACTATACAATAATATTTTAAGTATTACTAGACCATAAATTCAAATACCTACGGTGATAGTTCTTTTAACTATTTATATTTAAAACTGTAGCATATAATATAAAGCAGAGTATTAAAATTATAGCAATAATATAAGATAGAAAACTGTACCTGGTGAACTAAGTTGTAGTACATGATAGAATCAAAAGAACAAACCAAAATAAAGGTTCCAAAGTACAAACATCACTTTGTTGAATCAATGATAAAGTATTCATTGTAACAAATTAGAATCTTACGTTCATAAAAATCCTCTCAAACTTTAGCCCATAATCTTACAACTTGAGTAGCTTTTTTTTGACTTTTGTGATAATTTTTTTTGTAACTCTTCTGTTAGGCAAAAGTAGATATGTAGGGTTAGAGAATTTGAGTCTCTTAAGGAAAAGAAATTGGCCAATTTCTATTACTTTGGGCTTAGGGAATCTTTTAAGATATAAGTAGTATAAACCAAAATCTATATATGATAATTAAAATGCAGAAAATATTTAAAATTATTTACAAAAAGATATGATACTTTATATAAATAGTTATCAAATTTTATATATAATTTATCAGTTTGGTTTGGTTTATTTTTCGGTTTTTATAATAGAACCAAAACCAAATCAGATATTATCGATTTTTAAAATTTAAAATCAAAACAATACAAATCAAGAAAAATATCGGTTTGCTTAATCGGTTTTCGATTTGAATCGATTTTTTGTCATGAACAACCCTAATTAGATTTGAACAGAGAAACTGAATAAATACATTGACCATCATATTTGCAAGACAATTCGGCATAAATATTATACTGGACAAATTCTTAAAATATATCAAATGGCAAATGGAGTAACTCTTTTTTCAGAAATAACATTTTAGCACTGATGAAAATTATCCAAAAAGAAAAAATATGGATTTAAGTTTTATATACTTACTGTGTAAAGAAAATTATTAGTAGTACATTGTTAGGATATTTTTTAAGAGACAAGAGCATGTAAGTTAGTGGGCGTTTGGACATAAGAACTACTATAAAATTCCGGAAAAAAGTAAAAAAAAAAAAGAAATCAAGTAAAAATAGTATTTGAAAATTAGAGTTGTGTTTGGACATGAATATAATTTTGGGTTGCTTTTGAATTGTGAAAATTTTGAAAAATAACTTTTTGGAGTTTTTAAAATTTTTAAAAAAATTCAAAATTTATCTTCATATGAAAATTGAAAATTTTATGACCAAATACTGATTTTGAAAAAAAGTGAAAAATTTTTTATGGCCAAACGGGTTCTTAGTACCATAAAAATACGGCTTCGGTTAGTTAAATTTACGACCAATTAATTATAGTGATTGAAAACCAAAGTAAGTTGTTCAATAGATCAAACTTCAGAATGAACTGTCCAAATGAAAATTAGTGCAAAATTTAGAGATTATCTATTGTATTTAGCCAAAATCAGTCAATGACCAAAAGCTCTTAATTAGTTTCACCACTATAAGTGGTATGTTTGTAGAATGAAAATAAATGTAAAATGAAAACAGAACAATGTTTTCACTATTTTTTTTTTTTTGTGTGTTGTCACGACCCAATTTTCCCTATAGACCGTAATGGCGCCCAACGTCGCCGCTAAGCAAGCCAACGGTGAACTAATCCATGTTATTCCTCTTTTTAATAAGCTTTCAAGTAATTAAATTCTATTTATTAAGAAATTAAGGAGTAGAAAAATTAATAAATAAAACGAAGACAACTGAGTGCAATCATAGTGATATAAGTACTCCAAAACCATAAAGTCTACTAGTATGTGTGCCAAGACCTGGTGTCACAAGTGTATGAACAACTAGTAATTATACAAAACTCTAACTAATGTCTAATCTGACGAATAGCTATGTTAGCTAAGCCACCTGCCTCATCAGGGTTTCCATCCGAACTAGTGCCTTAAGCAGGAAGGCAAATGAAATTATGAGGTATGGTATCGTATATAAGAGAAAGCTTACTTTTAGGGGTGATCTTTCGCCTTTATTGAGGAGATATAAAACAAGTTTACTTACTAATAAAGCGGCAAGAAACACCTTCTTTCTCCCTTTATATTAGTAGTTGAGTGCTCATTGTTGTTCAGATCTTGACCGGATCCGAACGAACTTCCCAAGCTCTATGTTGTTGGGGAACTCTGCAAGGGTCTTACCACCTTCTTGATTGACTATATTTGAGTCTTTGGAGTACTTTAGGATTATATCCCGCGTAATGGATTTGTGCTTGTGGGCCGAGGTGAATATTGCAGACCAGCGGATCTGGTGGTCGACAATCGTTCGGACTCCACTCGATGTCCGGTACCCGTATTGGAGTCCAACTATATCCGAATTCGTGCCGCGTATGGCCTCATTCGAGGAAAAGTGCTCCCTACCAAGAATTTGTCCATACCCAGAGATCGAACCTGATACCTCTGGTTAAGAGAAGAACAGTTCCATCCACTGCACCATATCCTTTGGTGGTTAATATTTTCACTTCTCAATAAGAAACCAAGCAAAAACTTTCTCCCAGTGAATCGAAATTGAAATTTTGTGGTATTTGTTGTATTCACGCTATTGCATTCATAAATACAGTAGTGAAATTCGCCTAAAAAAATAGGGGAGTCTAGATGTGCGATTGTATTCGTTGTATTCACGCTACTATATTCATGAATACATTAGCGGAATTCGCCTAAAAAATAGGGGGATCTAGCTATTTAATAATTGAAAGATGATCAATTAGCGTGTATCACTCCTAATTTAACCCAACAAAATCAATTCTACATAAATTTAGCTGCTATTGTGTTGTATTACATTCTCACGACTATATTTATAAATACAGTGAGGTAATCAAGAAATAGGGTGTATACCATTTTATTCAATTCGATTGTATACATTGTATTCAATTCACAGATATTCATTATTCACTATTATACATTGTATTCAATTCACCGTATTCAATTCGACAGTATCAAACAACAAAAAATCACAAAAAACAGTAATATTCAGTTGTATTAAAAAAATACAAACCTTTAGAATATATAAATACAGACGAAAAATAATGTATTCATATAAAAATACCATATATTTGTACAAAATATAATGTATTTGTATCATTGTATGTGACTAAAATAGCAAAGAAGAGAAGAAAGTTTGTCGGAGATAGCGTTTTCCGGCCAAGCAAAATATTGTATACATTGTATTAAAACTAAAAATGGGGACGAACGAAACCTGACCCTCAAATCTTCTCCGGCGTAGCCATGGCCAGATCTAATCGCCTAAGAGGATGAGCCAATAGTGGATAATGACGCTGACAATTCTGACGCCGGCGAGGAATCTGACGACGACCACGATGATGACGCCGACGATTCTAGTGATTTGATGGAGAAGAGAGAGGATTGAGAATCTTGCTATAGAGAGAGAGAGAGAGAGAGAGAGAGAGAGAGANGGAGAAGAGAGAGGATTGAGAATCTTGCGAGAGAGAGAGAGAGAGAGAGAGAGAGAGAGAGAGAGAGAGAGAGAGAGAGAGAGCATAATTGGTGTATTTGATGCCTCAATGGAAGGTATAAATAAATAACTATTTTGCTATAAAAATAGAAAAGATAACTATAAGTAATAATATTTTGGTTTATAATAAATAAGGTATAATAGTTTGGTATATGAGGTAAAATTTCCTTTAATTTTTATACACTGTCCCAAGTAACTTGGCACAGTCCATTAAATACTCCTCTATTTTACGAAATATATAAACTTTATTCTTTGTTATAAATTATTATTTGCGCTTAATTTCAATGGAGCTAAAATCTGAAAAATAAATTGAATAGTTTTAGACCATAGTCAAGTATATGATAAATTTGGACGTTTTCCCGAAGTATTTGACACGTGAAGTCTATCCCATCATTAAAGATTTAAAATCAAGGACGAATACAATAAAAAATTTTAACGACAATGATATAAATGACCCTAAAGTATAATATATGGTAAAATTAAATTATTTCGTATGGTTGGAGGGTAAATTTCAATCTTTTCTCGTTAGGAATAAACAATTATGCTAAGATTTTTTGCTGTTGTGAATTGGTCACGAGATATCAGCCTTTCTAAAAATTCTTTTGGTTTTTCCATCACAATTGGTTCTTTGTATTTTGCCATTAGTAGTAATTATTTTCTCTTTCTTTTTAAGATTAAAGAAGGTCAAGATATTTCTTCCAGCTGACAAAATATATACTATTATTACATAAATACTATGATTGATCTTGATACTTTATAGTCACAACTAAAACATAATTATTCTGCTTTTTGCGAGTTCTCATTACCTGCAATTTAATCTGTACGATTCTTTTGGCATCTCAATTGTATTGTGTACTACACCATTTGGCAGGAAAAGAACAATCTCTGCATGAATAAAGTAATTTGGTGACTAGTTTCCTAATAACTTGATCATTCATAAGGGTAAAGTATCACCACAACTAAGTAGAACAAAACTGGTACAACTAATTATTACCTCTGTTTATTTTTACTTATTCATTATACTAAAAATACATTTTCACTTTTACCTGTTCATTATACTAAATCAAGAGAAAGAGAATCTTTTTTTCGTATTTTACCCTTATCATTAACTACTCATTTCAAAATCATTTTCAAACACTTTTGAAAATGCTATCATTATTATGGTAAAATTATAAATACAAAATTCATTTATTTTTTCTTAAAGGGAGTGCAAAGTCAAAAGTGGACAATTAAAAGTGAACGAAAGAAGCAATTCGGAAAGTAAGCGTAGCCCTGCGCGGAAGATACATTTACTAGCCAACGCTCGAGATTGATTATCTATCTACAGAACCGTTGTTTGCTCAACTCTAGAAAAAACACACATCTTGACTGTTCCTGGTGAAAAGAAATGAAGTCACACCTATAACAACTATGTCGTGTCTATTTATTGTAAGAAATACAATGAAGAGTATCAGTCCTCAAACTCTTTCACATTCCCCAAATTTGTCAGAGGAATGAAGATTCAGGAAAATCAAGCAATTGAATGTAATCAAACAGTCCTATTATGAGCACGACCTCAGGTAAAAGCATTTAACAGCATTTTAAGCCTCAAATACAACGGCTACAAATTCTTTGCTTAAACAAACAGTTTTCTTTCCAAGAAAAAAACAAAGAAGACAACCTTACTCCCAGTTATAGAATGCGGCTTGTAGCGCCGATCTTGACAGTTCCAAGAAAATAACAGTAGCAAGAAAATTCCATGCACATATGCAACGTGTAGAGTGCAACAAACAAAGGAGATTCATGAGAAACCAAACATCAATATCATTTGGAATGCCACGAGTTCATAATTACACCTGCAGTAAATCAAACGCCTATAATATGAGGTGACATTTCTAGTATGCCCCGAAACAGAAGTTCTGGTTTCTCATTCTGAAGCAGACTCTTGGTAAATAATCACAAACTTCATAGATGATGTTGGGCTGTCTAATAATTTCTTAGCCAATCGTGATAAATATCGGGACTCACAGCTCTCCAAACATTCCCTGCAGATTCTCCTCTCTGATACGATAACAAACTTCTTCAAAGCCATTGCATTCTTTAGTAGAAACTCCGAAAGTTCAAAAAGCTTATCATTTCCCCTTCCAAACCACCTCTTAAAACACTCCGCTATGCAGCCAACAACCTTAAGATTCTTGAGATTGGGAAACACAATGCCCGAAATCCAACTCTGCAAACTGATAGTATCTCCTTTGGCCAAATAACTTAGCTCAAGTTGGCAGCGAAAATTATTAAGCTGTAGCCGATAATATAATCAGAATCAAATGCAGGTCCCCAGAAGAAGGGAATATTCCGTAGAAGGCAAAAGAAAAAAAAAGCATTGCAGTAGTGTCTAATATAGAATAACTTTCAGAAGCCACCAACCTTGTGAACAGTTCTCAGCAAATGATTACAATAGCTTATTCCTAATATGCTCAAGCAGTAGATAAAACAGCAAAAAGAGGTTCAGTTTGTCACCGTTCCTTTTCGAGCCCGTTTACCAGATAGAAAGCAACTACCTTGACAAATTGATTTAAAGCTATAGTGACAAAAGATTCTTAATGATAATTAAAGATGCATCTGCATCCACCTGAAGAAAATTTCCAAACTGGCGAGGGTGGGGGTGGGATGGGTGAGGTGTTAAGACTTAAGAACTCAAAGATGTTAAAAGCACAACATGAAAGGGCAGCCCGATGCACTAAGCTCCCGCTATGCACGGGGTCCGAGGAAGGGCCGGACCACAAGGGTCTACTGTATACAACCTTACCCTGCATTTATGCAAGAGGTTGTTTCCACAAAAGCACAACATAAATTGAGAGAAAGTACGACCTCAGCTCCCAAGTGTATGTTGAGTGTCTCCAAAAGAGGTGAGGTCCGCAAAAGGCTAGCTACTCCATACAAATTATGCTTTGTCACATTCATCTCTAGTGTAAGACATTTGCATCTCAATTTTGGTAGCGACACTCCGTTGAGTTGCTGCATGAACACGACCTTGATGAAATAATTCCAAAGAAAATAGTAAAGGATAGAGAAAGAAGTAACAGGAAAGAAAAAATAACCCACAAAAAAAGTAGTGCTATGACAACCTAACCATCTAACCCCTTTAATGGACAGCAATGCACAAAATGTAGTTGCTAAAATAATGATTGCCAGTAAAACATATCCAACTTCAGAGAGTAGATAGGAAGATCATAAAAGGCAAAGACAAGATCTTTCTATATGGATTATAAAAATTAAATTACTCAACCAAAAAATCTTGTCGCTGAAACTTTCATGTATACAAAAGTTCATAATTGTATTAGATTCAGAAGGCTCTTCTCTTTCTCAGGTTTACACTCTGCAATTCTTCACTAGAAATCAAATAGAGAATAAGGACTTTTGACGTGAAAACAAACCTCTGCTAACCAACGTCCGATTATTAGCTCAGTTACATAACTCAGCTTTTGAAGATAGTCCAGAACAAGGTTTCTAAAATTTTGATGATAATCAGCACAACTGTGTTCTGCAGCATCAGGATCAACCCCCCAGATGTCAGTGATACATGTAATGCTAAAAGTGAGTCTACCATCAATCAAAGAGGAGACATTTACTAGTCTACACGTGAGATAATCAAGATCTCCTAAAATCTCCAAATGCTGAAGATACGGGGCAATAATTTCCAAAGGATCTTCAACTCTGCCATAAAACCACCAGTAGCGATCCAACGTTAGTCTCTTTAAATTTGAAGAAGTGATTTCTAGACGACGAAAACCATCGAATGAAGACAACTCCAGAGTTTCCAAAGCAGGACAACCTGAAAGTATTTTTGCAATATCGTCATCATCTATAAAAATATAGTTCAACTTTAGGCTCTTTAGATACTTCCACTCTATGACCGATTCTTTATCAACCACGCAACAACTCCAATCCAATGTAATCAATGAGGAGCAAGTGCAGATAGATATAGGCAATTCAAAAGAGAGATCGTCATCATATGAACACAATACAACATCTTCCACTTTTCTTTCCACAGCAAAACTAATCCATTGGCTGATTTTCAACCCAGAGGTGTAACCTAAATCGAGTTGGAACTTTTTGATTTTGGAACAAGTGGAATGAGTTAAAACGTGGTCCACAAAGGACATGAAGTTTTCTGCTTTCTTGCAATCTATACTAATGAAAAGGAAGTTATAAATTGAAGTCCAGAGATAACGCCACCTTTTTGAGGAAGCACAAGATGCCACGGCATCTTTGGTCGGCAAAAGAGAGAGAATTTGAACAAGGAGTGAGTCCGGCAACTGACTGATACGATCTAGGGTTTCTTCAGCTCCAGCGATTCCATTCTTTTGTTTCTTCGGCACTGAATCTGTCAAATTACTACTTCTAAAATCGCCATTGTTGCTGGAATTGAGTGAAGCCATGCGTTTTCAAGAGAGAGAGTTCTGAGAATTTCTTAAAAAGTTGCCCTCGGCATCTTGCTTTCAATTTTGTGTTTTCTCATTTGTGTTTCCCTCATTTTCCATCCCTATTCCCTACTTTAGTCTTTGGAGGGAAACTAGCTCGCTACTATATATTCCGATGACATTTTTCTTTTTAATATACTACTAATTGTATACGGTAAAATATGATATGACATGTGGCTGACTAAAAGGAGGATATCTGGAATTCGAGATGGGATAGCTAAGGACCGCGCGCATCCACTCTGCTTGTCACTAGAAAAGATAACGTTCATGAAGGTGTATTAAATGCTCTGCGCCCGGTGGCAACTAAGGAATATTCTACAGCATTAAGAGCAACAGTCCGTTACAAATAATTTGTCATTTATATTCACCGTTACATTTTCGTCAATGACCCTCATAATTGGCATTAAAGGAGGACACAATCCTAGGACCTTTTTCCCTAGGCACAACTATAAATAGTGAGCTCAATTATCATTGTAAAGCAGACGAATTTTATGAAAAGAGCATATACTATATTTTATACAAAACTTTATACAACTTCACTTTCTTGCTTTTTGATCTCATGATTGCTGTGTTCGGAAATCGTATTCTCGGAATCACCATCTTTGCTATTTCATCTACATTCTAAGGCATTGCATATTTTTTCGATTATTATATTATTTCAGGATCAAATTAATTCACCTGTCTAGAAACCACGTATAAATTCAACTGTACCATTTTACGGCTAAACAGTTTGGCGCCCACCGTGGAGCCTAGATAGCCGTGCAATTAAATTGAACATTGCCTTTTTACTAACGTGTTTTGAAAAAATCGCAAAAAATGGCAGATAACACTGTTAACGATGCGCACAACCTTGAAATTCGAGGGGATCAGCCTCATTTCGAGGACTCAATCAGTGACACCCGTAATGGGGGAATGACGCCACGTTGGTGCATAATAGACGGTACCCTCGACAGGTTAGGGAGACAACTCCCGATGATGCTGACGAGGAATAAGTAGCGGATGCTGTGAGAATCCTGCAAGAGCAACATGAAATCATTCTAGGCCATCTCACGCGGCAGGATCAGGTTATGACGGAACTAAAGCAAGTACTATTAGGTGCTTCGAATAATGCAAACTGGCGCGATCCACTTCCCCCCGTTATTCGCGCAGACCAAACAACGCAGAGAGTCGATAACAACACTCTCAAGGGTGAAGTTGGCTCCGATAGGGTTGGGGGGAGCAGATCAGGTCTTAATAACGAGAATGATTCATTCAAAGATGAGCTTTTACGGTTCATGAGGGAAGTAAACACCTGCATGGATCAAATCCCGGGAGCACCACCAATATTGAAAGGCCCGAACTCAAAGAAGTATGTTCAATTACCGTACAAGCCAAGTGCGGCACCAGAACTAATCCCGAAGCATTTCAAAATGCCTGAAGTTCCACAGTATAATGGAACTTCATACCCACAGGAACATATTACCACCTACACAACGGCGGTGAAAGAAAATGATCTAGCTCCTCACGAAATTGAATCTGTGTTGCTAAAGAAATTTGGTGAAACTCTCACGATGGGAGTCCTAACGTGGTATTCATTACTTCCCGAGCATTCCATAGATTCCTTCGAGATGCTTGCAGATTCTTTTATTAAAGCTTACGCCGGGGCCAGAAAGGTGCAAGCCCGGAAAGCCGACATATTCAGAATCGCGCAAGGAGAATCAGAATTATTACGAGAGTTTGTTACCCGAGTCAAGAAAGAAAGAATGTTGCTCCCGACCGTCTCGGATGAATGTGAAGCTGAAACATTCACCTAAGGATTGAATCCAAGAAGTTCATATACTTCCCGGATGCTGAAGGAGAGCCTGGTTGAATTTCAAGCAACAACCTGGGCAGATGTTCACAACCGGTACGAGTCAAAGATAAGGATAGAAGATGACCAGGTCGGCTCTACCTCTACATCATCAGCCAAAGGACGGGAGAAGAACAGAGAAAAATCAAAGGATGACTACGACATGGATAGGTGGACTTTGAGGGGTCGGTTTTTGCCCTACGAGCGTACCGAAGACCGTGGTACAAATTTTCGAGCAGCAAACAAGTTTACCGTTGACGGAGGGACTGATCGTGGTCGTAACAATAGATCACTTCAAGATAAACAAATGTCAGGGCCTGGAGATCTTTCTTACCCCAAGCTGTCAGAATATAACTTCAATGTCAGTGTAGTGGAACTGGTGTCTGCCATGAGGAATATTAAAGAAGTGCGATTCCCAAGACCTTTGAGGTCCCAATTTATGGTGCGAAAACCATGAAACGAACGGTCATCGGATAGGGGACTGCCGACATCTTCGAGAGGAGGTGACAACGCTATTGAAGAATGGTCATCTCCGAGAATTCTTGAGCGATCGATCTAAGAAAAATTATGGTCGCAACAGAGACAATGCGAAATCTTCGAAAGCAGGAGAAGAAGCCCCACGCCAGACGATCAACATGATCTTTATGGGGAACGAGATTAATGGGGTCACCTTTTCGGCGGCAAAGAAGACTAAATTATCGATAACTCACATCAAAAGACTCCGGGAGGACGATATCACTTTCACGGAGGAAAACGCAGACGGATTGTTGTTACCGCATAACGACGCACTGGTAATCTCTTTAAATATGTTAGATTTTAAAATTAAGCGTGTTCTAGTGGATCCAGGACGTTCGACTAATATCATACAATGGAGAGTACTGGAAAAAGCTAAACTCACCAGAAGCATTATTCCGGCAACAAAACTCCTCGCTGGATTCAACCTTGCGAGCGTGACGACCCGGGGAGAGATCCTGCTACTCACGAATGCTGAAGGAGTAATGAAAACAACTCTCTTTGAAGTAGTGGATGGTGATATGGGATACAGCATCATCTTAGTAAGGCCATGGCTACACGAGATAAAAGTTGTACCTTCGACGTATCACCAATTGCTGAAGTTTCCAACGACCGAAGGAATCAAGCAGATAAGGGGTGATCAATCGGTAGCGAAGGAGATGAATGCAATCTCAGTTTCAAGTAGCAAAGGGAAGGATCGCACGACATAGCAATTACAGGAACCGACGCCTACTAATGAGTTAGAAGAAATTATTCCAGGGGCAGAGTCGTTAGAGAAATATCAGGTGCCGAGATATTTCCAAATTTCAAAAGAGACGGATGCAACGAAATCCACGATAGAGGAACTAGAGCAAGTGGCATTGTTTGAGGAATTCTTAGAAAGAAAATTTAACTTGGGGACAGGACTGCACCCCCGAGCTCAGGTCTGGTTTTATTGAATTCCTTAAAGTTATCGCTGATTATTTTGCATGGTCGCACGAGGATATGACAGGTATCCCGACGGAAATAGCCGTGCACAAGCTGAGTTTTGATCCTAACGTACCACCAGTACGACAAAGAAGCGCCCTATTGCCGAGGCCATGAATAAATTCGTCAAAGAAGAGGTAACCCGCTTGCTTAAAATTAGTTATGTCAGAGAGGTAAGATATCCAGACTAGCTAGCCAATATAGTAGTAGTTCCTAAGAAGAACAATAAATTTCGTATGTGTGTAAACTATAAAGACTTTAATAAGGTGTGCCCGAAAGATTGGTTTCCACTGCCAAATATCGATCAAATGATTGATGCCACGACTGGGCACGAGTTAATAAGTTTCCTTGATGCTTATTCCGGGTACAACCAAATTAAGATAAACCCGGAAGATCAGGAAAAAACTTCATTTATAACAAATTTCGCTTGTTACAATGTAATATCCTTCGGGTTGAAAAACGCCAGAGCCGCTTATCAACAACTCGTAAATAAAATGTTTGAAAAGCAAATAGGAAAGACCATGTAGGTTTATATAGATGATATGCTCGTTAAATCTTTGAATGAAGGTGACCACCTTAAGCATTTGCAAGAAACATTTGATATCCTGAGGAAGCATAACATGAAACTTAACCCCGAAAAGTGCACGTTCGGGGTCATCTCCAGTAAGTTCCTAGGGTTTCTGGTCTCACAAAGGATAATTGAGATAAACCCCGACAAAATCAAGGCCATAGACGTCATCCTGGACCAATTATCAAACGTGAAGGAAGTCCAAAGACTCACAGAAGGTTAGCAGCTTTGAGCAGGTTCATTTACCGATCGTCGAAAAAGTGTCATCGCTTTTTTACATTGCTAAAAAACAAGAACAATTTTGAATGGAAGCCGGAGTGCCAATAGGCTTTGAGGGACCTGAAGAAGTACTTATCAAGCCCTCCATTGCTCTCGAAACCAAAAGAAAGCAAAACATTGCTAGTCTACCTCGCGATTTCAGAAGTTGCGGTAAGTGCAGTTTTTGTCCGAGAGGTTGAATGTACGCAATTTCCTATTTATTATGTTAGCAAAATTTTAACGGGAGCAGAAACTCACTACCCAAATTTGGAAAAAGTGGCCTTAGCTTTCGTAGTCGCCACTCGGAAGCTGAGGCCCTATTTTCAACATCACCCAATAGCTATGGTGACTATTTTCCCTTTGCGGAACATCCTTCATAAACCCGAGATCTCAGGAAGATTGGCCAAATGGGCCGTCGAAATGAGTGAATTCGACATATAATATAAATCGAGGACTACAATTAAGTCACAAGTCTTGGCTGACTTCGTGGCCGATTTTAGTCCGGGACTGCTACCTCTGGCAACTAAGGAGGCAATCATAGTCTCGGAATCGACATCAGGGTTTGGACCTTATTTACGGATGGAGCCTCGAACATAAAACGGTCCGGGCTCGGAATAATTTTAATCACGCCTTCGGGGGAAACCTTAAGGCAAGCTATCAGAATGATTCCTTTAACTAACAATGAAGTAGAGTATGAAGCTTTGATTGCATGGCTCGAATTGGCACGGGGACTTGATTCTGAGGTTATCGAAATCAAATGTGACTCACAGTTGGTGGTAAATCAAGTTTATGAGATCTTTGATAACAAAGAAGAACATATGTAGCAATACGTGATAATGGTCCAGGATCTTTTGGCACGATTCCCTGAGTGGTCAATCACTCATAACCCGAGAGAGGATAGTGCAAAAGCGGATGCATTAGCAAACTTAGGTTCATCGACGGAAAT